TTAAGGGACCATCCATAACTACTGACACCACAAATGACAAGAGTGACTGTTCATCAGTCTCATGTCTCATGTTTCCTGATTCATTCTCTGTTTGTATTGGTCCTTAATTTGCTTTGTCAAATATTACACATGTCACACATTAATTGTGTCATTTAAGCATCTCCCTATTTAGGTTTAGAGTGTTTTGGTTTTCATTTGTTTTAACCCCAAATTCACACTATGATGTGTGATGACTCACTGACTTGATTTACTCAGGACTGAAAGTATTTTCACTCTATAATTTATGTAGCCCTCTCCATCATTGCCTTTTGTAAACATCTACAGTAAATTATTGAGTCACACAGATGTCACTCAGTGACGGCTTTTAAGCTTTAGGAGAATATACAAGTCTACTGATCAATGCTCATTTCTCCACAATGGGTGTTTACTGTGAAGCATGAAGGATGTGTTGAATCCAGTATGCAAAAACTTAAGAGCTAACAGTAATATGATTAGGGCATTGTTAGGGAACTAATATGATTTATTGGGCTTTGGTATCTGGATTAATGGAGTCAAACTGTAGGAGCCTGCTACTGTTTTTTTCAAAAAGCCCTGCACTGCATAACAAATCAATGGCTGTATCCTGCATGACATTTAGTCAAGAAAAATTTTAACTAGTTTAACTAGTACAAGTACATAGTACATTCAATGCTCTGCAGTATTAAAGGTACAATTTGCGAGATCTTCCCAGAATTATAGTTTAAAACATTTAAAGAATGAACTAACATTACCAACATAATGTGAAGAAGTAACAGTTCCAACGTAATGTCAAAGACATCTATGTGTTGTGTTACAGAAACATCTACTGAAGTTAGCACACTAACCAGCTACAAGCCGCTCGATCTTCCGTCTGACTGGGCAGACTGGGTCTGAACAGTGTTGGGCAAGCTACTTGGGAAATGTAGTGAGCTAAGCTACTAGCTACTCTCCATTAAATGAAGCTTCACTACACAGAAGCTATCCCCAGTGAAATGTAGCAAGCTTAGCTACAGCAACGTGGCAAAAGTAGCTTAGTTACATCTAAGCTACTTTTAATATATACACACACACACACACACACTCACACACACAGTATAGGCCTAGTTTATATTGAACTAACTTCATTCCACAGTAGCAGAAGAAGAAACACTAAAAACCTGCTCCAAACTGTGTGTGTGACAGAGATCTCATCTCATGAAAACAGGTTTCTACCACTACATGTCAAAGTTTCCTCCTCACTAGAGGAAGAGATGTCTAGGCTGGACCCTGATCCTTCTCACAAGAGGTTCCAATAACTATCACAATAGAAATCCAACGAAGGTTAAAGTCAAGGGCAAATGGACTTGGTTGAAGATACTGGAAGACGTTTCGTCCCTCATCCAAAGGACTTCTTCAGTCTTCAGAGACTTATCCTTCAGAAATGCTTGGGAAATGTAGCATGTAGGAAAGCTACCCCGCTACTCGGCCAATAAAAGAGCTTTGTTACTGAAAAGCTATTTGATTCAGAAAATAGCGACACTAACACCAAGCTACTGAGAAATGTAGTTAAACTAGTAACGGAGCTTCTTGGAGTGACGCAACTGCCCAACACTGGGTGTGAAATAGTCACTGTCCAGGGACAGACAGGACGCGGGATCCCCTTATGATAACTATGGAAGATCTTACTGGACTTTAATATTAGCAACCCACAGAAAACAATCCACAAATGTGTACTGTGTGTAGGATTCCACAAATGTGTAAAAAGGAAGTTACAAATGTAACATGACCCATAAATTGCAAAAACTGTTTTGTGTGTAGAAGTCACTCTGTATTTTTAATAATGTAAAAATACACATTTGTAGAGAGTGAAATATTTGTGCATCATACTACACATTTGTGGATTGTTTTCTGTGGGTTACAAATATTAAAGTCCAATAAAATCTTCCATAGATAACCAATTGGGCTGTTCAGACAGAGCGAGCTGGCAAGAAAACACCCTGATAATCTACTATAAATTATACAAATGATCTGATTCTGATGAAATAATACATTTTCTAGCTTTTGCTAGTACTTTAGGGTGCTCTATTCCTCTCATCCAACACGTTCTCATCCCAGGGCGTCAAACACAGAAACTTTGACAAAGCTATTTGACGCACAAGGTACAAAACTACTAAGTTTCTATTCCTAATCGGAGGAGACCTACTCCCCTGTATCATGTTAATTTGCTTAAACCACAGATGCTCGTTACATGGGTGGAGTGATCAATTCTGTCTCTCCGAAGGTGGATGCTAGTCATGGAATGATTCTGTAATTTCAGATTTTGTTCTCTTGAAAGCAGGGTTGGATGTTGACGGTGATATTAATGCCCCTGCTGAGTAATGCGACGCTGTCACTGGCCGCCAAGTGGGCAGCCAGTAATGTAACGTTTTTTTTTGTTGTTGTTGTACTTGGTTATGTTTGTATTTCACGCCATGGAATGTGAAGGGGCTTTCTCACCGCTGTTCTCCTCCCCCAGTGTTTTCCCCCCATATGATGAAATATCAAAATCCCAATTATAATTATAAGAAATAGCTGCTGTTTTTTTTTTTTTTTAATTCCCTATTTATTCCACATATTTGTCAGTTGAGTGAGTGACAGAGAGGAGCACACACACACAGATCATCACACAAGGCAATGGTCCTTTTAACTTCATTGTTGTAGAAGAAGCGATGCCCCGCTAATCTAGGAAGACATAAAAAATGTAATTTGTGAGGTTATTATAAAGATAAGCTTTAACGTAACGTGCGATTAGAAAAGAGCAGAGGAGCAGAATCGCTTAGAGAGCAGCCTGGCAGAGGAGGAGGAGGTGAAATGCTGCCTCCTATTTATTTTGGAGCAAGCGGCCAGAAATTACACATTGCACCATTAAAACATAACAGAAACATGTGTGCAGTCAAATATCATACACAATGTATCTAAGGAAGAGTGTAAATTTTCTGATGATATTTTACCAAGATCCCAAATGTCAGCTCCAGACATATATGACACAGCAATCAGAGCACAATATTTATTGCAGCGTTTGCCCACAGTGACTTATTTGCTGCCACAGGTCACCTGACAATTTCTCTTTGATGTAAGCTTCTCAAGTCTTAAGTATTCAACTATATAAGCACTTTCACAATACAGAGAAGAGGTTTATCTGTCAAGGGGGGCCATCAGAAATGATTTGTTGATGACTTGATTTTCATCCCAGGGAGCATATGGCTGCATAAATAAATTTAAAAAAGGCTGAGCACAGAGGCGGCCTGATGATGGAGCTGTGGCATAATCTCTGAGATGAAAGGAGAAAACTCTGTGAGAAACTTTCTTAGCCAATCTGCTAAACTCTGGTTCACATGTGTCCCCTTTGTATGTGTACGATGTCCTCTAGAAAGTTAAAATTCACATTTGGATCATCCCACGAATGCTGCTGTGTTTGTAAGGCTTCTACAAATTAATGCATCTTTTTATTCACCTGCAAGAGGATCCCGCAGTTTCACATTCAGGGCATTGGGATCCTCTGTTATGTCACAGATGAAAGCCTAGTCACACACCCCCCTTAATCCTCGAGCTTAGTGATAGCACTCGATTTAAGCATCTGCGTCTGTGTATGTCTCATATCAAAACAGCTCTTCTTTGCAGGTGGTAAAATTGCCTGGATTTAGTATTAACCTTTAAAGTCTTTATTTTATTTTTATTTTTTTGCATCTTACTGTACATAGACACATGGCTGATAATATGTAAAAGTATACTTCAATACTATGATAGCATGCAAAAAGTGATACTCTGAATGAGCTACAGAATGATCAGATGCTCTTCCGCCACTGTTTGAATCAGTGTATTTTGTCCTTGACTATCTTTAAGTAACCTAAGCAGTAATAGTGATAGTGAGATCTAATGCTCTGTGTGTTTGTAAGGTCAAACTGTAAGAGCGTACTTCATATCTGCATACTTCATATCAGAAGGACATAATCAAATACATCCTTTACAAGACTTTAATAAATCTATATTAACAAACTTTAAACAAATACATTGCAATATGGATGCAATGTTTAATCAAAACTAATAGACATTTTAATTTAAATTCCTGTTTCAAGATTCCCTTTTTCAAACGTCTGCTTTTATTCACAGTGTAATGGCATTTTCCCCAATGATACTTTTATTTCATGTGAAACACATACCCTCAGCCTCTTTTAGCAAGATCAGCAATGGCTTATTTAGTCAGCTAGCTGTTAGCTAGAGCAGCAACAATGTCAAAGCAACTCTGAATCAACTAACTACAGTCTGCTTCTGTATATATAGACAGAACACAGACATAATAACCAACCTCTTCTTCATGTTTAGCTTAACACAGCTGCACATGCTATGTAACTAGAAGCTAACAAGCTGGGTTGCCTTGGGGGCTAAGATTATTACCAAAGTCCTTGCAAGTCATGCCACTTGGGATGCCATCTTAGCAATGCCTTTGGGCAGCTATTTGGGACGAACAAGACAAGGCTCCTATCTGAATGAACGCTTTGCCTGTTAAAAGCAGACGATAAGCTTTCTAGCGGGAGGGGCGGGATAACCGCCATCTTTGCCGTTACAGGCTTTCCCCATAGAGTTATATTGAGGATTTGACTGAGTGGCGTGTCTCCTCCTAAAACATCTCTGATATTATTCAGCATCAAAGTGAAGAGTCAATGTGAGCAGCAGCGGCTAGGTGGTTAATTTAGAGATATTCTGGCAGCTGAAGAGCTGAGAAGGGCAAAAACACGAGGAGTGTTCCTTTTTTGGTTGTTGCAGCCAGCAGCAGCTAACTAGTTAGTTTACAGTTGCTGACCTTGCTAATGGGACAGGTACTGGTGAACAATACCATTTCAGAATAGGCTATTGTGCTGAGTTTTAATAATTTATCACATAATTTCCCAATTATACAATTTATATATTCTATTCATTCATATGATACTTTATTTCATAATTATATCGCAGTCACGCCGTCTCACCTCGCACCACAATGGTGGTAGACTTCTTGGCTGGGTTGCCCACGTTGTTGCTGGCCACGCAGCTGTAGACCCCCGCCTCATCAGAGGTGATGGCTGGAAGCGTGAGTGTACCCCCTTTCACCACGCTCCTCTGCGGCAAACTGTCATTACTGCTGACCCAAGTGAGAAGTGGGGGCGGCTCTCCGCCTGTGGTGATGCACACCAAGGATACCGTCTGGCCAGGATTCACCACAATAGGATCCTCCACTAGCAGCTTGATGGACGGTGAGGCTGTCGAGGAAGAGCATGTGGAGTCTTAGAAAGATTGGCAGAAGATGGACAACTTTGGCAGCATATGTCAGTTGAGAGACTGCGCACAAATTCATGTCTATTTCCATGTCTGTCCTACGTTTATTAAGATACCTTTCTAGAATATGCTGTTTTCATATTGCAATCTACTTAGAATAATAACAAAATCACTGCACAAACGGCCATTTTTGGTATACTATGCTAAAATGACAATACAGGAAATTCAGAAGTCTTACCTGTCTTATTGGTAAGTCTGAAGATAACACTGCGGTCAGGGATCCCACACACATTTCTGACAGAGGCGATGCAGCTGTAGTTGGCGTAGTCCTGAGGACGCAGGTTCTTCAGCTTCAAAATCTTCGTTTCCCCCTGCAGCTCAGACCAAACCAACACTGGTATGCAAATGTGTGCAAAAATATCAACATAATCAAGTAAAAGCAATGCAGGAAACTAGGTAGTGGAAAGGAGATGATTTAGACCAAACCGCTCCAAAGAAAGGTCAAAGAGATGAATATGTATAGAGTTTTAATGAAGCCAAAAATGAAAAGAATGGTAGCAGAGTTCAAGAACATTATCAAAAAATAAATAAAAAAATGCTGGTATTTGTCAAGATAATTAAAGTGTCTATTTGCTCAATACCAATGTGTGGATTACTTTCCAGTCAATAGCCCGGCAGTATTTTCACCATTCAGCTACAGAAATATGGATGGGCTCAGTAGGGGATCCCTCCACAGAAACCGATATCTCATTGAGAATGTGTTTGATTCCTGCCTGGCCTGTCAACCATGAGCCCCGCCTAGAAGGCTGTGATGAGGATGTGAACCTTTGATCTGGCTGACTATAATGCGTGGGTGTTGGGTTGGTGGGAGAGGCGGCAGATTAAAACATGAGTCAGCCACACGCTGCGGCAGTCCGCAAAACATGACAATCGCCTCACGTCTTTCATGTAATGTCATTTTATTACCATGAGGCTCATGGACATCTTAATTGTATTAGATTAGCCATGGACCCCACTTTCTTTCTCTGTCACCTCCTCTATTTTGGAGCAGATATCAGGAGATGAGGTTCATGATATTCAGAGTGCGTGCTTTACTCACAGCAGGGAGGGAGCACATTAAACCGAATTGGACAGGGGCACTGATGGCCATATTGATGGAAAGACTGGGTACACAGGAGCTACTGGAACGGGACTTATGGCGGTCAATTAAGGGAAAAGAAATAATGGGGGAGTAAATTGTCACTGTCACCTCAAAATAGTATTTCTCATTTTCATGTTTGAACTTATTTGAGGAATTAGGTGCTCATCTTTCAAAACCAGCAAATGCATGGCAGTAAAGATGAAAATGTTAGCAGCATAGCAGCAGGAAAATGAGATGATTACACGAGAGCCTAGAAAATGAGCGAGCGAGGAAGCTGAACAGAAGAGATATAAAAATGTCATAATTGACATGAATGGGATGTGTGCCTCCGCTGGGTGATGAGCAATATGTTGCTAACTCGGCTTTAAATGGTTACGTTCTCAAGATCTAGACAACATGGTCAAACAGAACAACACACTGCAAGAAAACATTAAACCCCATCAAAAATCATCAAAACATACTGACTTTCTTAAAGAGGTGAGGATCTGATGAGAGATGAGAAATGGTTCCATTATTCCCTCAATAATTGTGCTATTCTCTGGCATTTTGGGGGGGAAATTATGGATACAGAGGTGGAGGAGGAAGTAACAGACAGCAGAAAGGATAGGGTTTGCACAATAAAAGCACAGCTCCAGGCCTCACTTAATTATGAACCAGTTCTTGGTACAGAGTTTTAAATGCCACCTCTGCATTTCTACAGTATCAGTGGGAATATATAAAAAATATTTGGCAGACTTAAAAAAGGTGCTAGGGAATGAAGCTGGAATGAAGAGTAATGGAGGGAGAAAAGTGCAGAGGCGAACTTAATTCACAAATCTGCCTGGCCAAAATAGAGGCCTGGCTGCACTCTAATGGACTCAACTTGACCCTGTAGGCTCGATTTTGGTCAGTTATGAATTTTTAACTCAATTGCCCGAGTATGTTTCAGGCAAGCTCAGACATATTGTTGAAAAATAATGTTATAAGCCATTTCTACGAGGAAATTCATAGGAGTTTAGTAAGGATTTACTTGAGGTTGAACTCACACAAACATAATCTCTGGCTTTCAAATTTTCAGACCCAATTAAAGCTTTAATAGAGGGGAGGATGAAGGAGCAAGGGAACGAGAAAAAAGGTATGAAGAGCAGGATGGGGAAGGGAAGAGTGTCTGATGAGGCCCAGTTGTGCAGCTTCTTCAGTCTCTCTCACTCCATTAGTTCCCAGCCATCTTTCTCCATTTGGCCAAACATCAATTTCACTTCCTTTTTTCTCTCTGTTTCTTAAGCCTCTTTTCCCCTCTCGCATGTCTTTTTCTCTTCCTCGTACAACATACAAATCGCATTCAACTCGTTCAATTCAACAACTACAATTCCCTTACTGGTGACAGAACAATCTCAATCAGTTCTTTGTTGGCTGCACAAGATCCATTTTTAGAACAAAAGCTTTGCAATTTTCAAATTGTAAAGAAAATCCAATCGCTCAGTTGAGAGAACTGGAACTCAATCTTTCTGTGTCTGTAATTTCTCAATGTGCATGTAACTTTGTGGAACTGGGTTAGTGAAACTGATATTGCTATGCATTGGGTTAATGAGAAAAACTTTTACTGTCTCTCAGCACAACATGGGGTAGTTTTAGTGTTGAAAGTGAAAGTGTATGTATTATGAAAAGAGGTTGATGAAGATCATCACCTATATACTTCTAGTGTCTGTTTAAGGCCCCACAGTATATGTTGAACACGATCCTCAATGTCCAATATCCATTGTAATAATATTACTATGCATTAGAATATTACAATGCATTAGAATATTGGTTACTAGTAATAATTATTTACTTTATCTTTTTATTTATATTAATGGCAGTTATCAGTCATCTGGATCATCAGATCCACTGTAAATGGCAAAAATTGTTTTCACACACATAAATTAGCAATCATCGTTACAAACACCCTCTCATGGTGAGAGATCATTGTGTCATAAGAATTTGATAATGTTAACACATTCTAAAAGCTGCTCTGCTGCTTGTTTGCTGGATTTTTCCCGTATATTTTGGTTACACAGCAGGGTGTGGCAACTGGTTATGAGAGCATCTCTTAATATGAGAGATCACACTCTGAAAGAGATTCAGAAAATTTAGCTCCTGATGAACACATATTTTGCTATTCCTTCAAAAAGCGTTTCACATCCTCTATTCTGTTTCAGCCAATTTTTCCTTTCTTTGTAATGCGCAGACAGGGGCAAAAGATGTGTGTCTTCATGACAGCCAGCAAAAGCACCATTACGAGATTTCATATCCAACAGCTTTAAGCCTTTACCCATGTGGTATTTACTGAATAGACAATGCATCTTTCTTTGCATCTGCTATTCTCATGTTTCCTCTGTCTTACCTGTGTGAAAAACGGCTCATAGATCTCCACTCCCTTGTCCGAACCCTGCGTCAGGACCTCTCTCCCACGATGCCAACTGTAGCGGACAGGCGGGTTGGAATTGGCCACACAGCGCAGAAACACAGTCCTTTCATAGTAGAACTGTTCTTTAGCTTCTCCTATGCTCTGGTGCACCGTCACCACCGGGTCATCAAGGTCTGTGAGAGGGGCACACAAGAGAGGAGGAAGCTATCAATAAACACTTTCCCATGAGTTGTTCAATTGACGAATGAGTCGAAGACTTCTGGGAGCGATCAATCATGTGTTTCAGGTGTAAATATATATTTGCCTAGCTGTAGTAGAACAAATCGAGTAAATCTTTATATCATCAGTATACACTCATAGAATCTCCCTCACAATCTGTGCATGTTGATTGTGGTTAAAGGTCAGATGAAAGGGTCAGAATTCTCATTGCTTTACGAGAGCCAGTTATCAGGATGCACACATTGGTCAATGTGTGAAACTTGAACTACTTAAGTCAATAGGATGCAGCCCAAGGGCACACTGACTTCCCAGTCAATGAGAGAGCTGATGTGTGTTCCAAGTCCCACTAAATCGTGAGCTTCAGAATGAGAGGAGATGACATATACTGTGCACAAAATGATGTTTGATGTCTATCACTTCAAAGAATATTATATTCCTGACCTCCGCTCTGATTTAGGCACTCTCTGATTTGACACATCTGTTACGCTACCCATTTCCCAACAGTCTGAGGGAAGTTTTACCCCAACGCTGGTTATTTGAGAAAGCGGTTGATTAAATGGATTCAAAGTTAATCATCTTACCCGGCTATCGCATTAAGCCTTGGCAAATGGTGTTCATCATAGCTGTGGTGTCTTTTAGCATGCTAATACTTGCCTTTTAGATTATGTACATTTGCACGCTCAAAGAACGTGGGGAACTAGCTGTTTCCCTTTCATCTCCGTCTGAGATGCAATCAGTTTTTAACACGAGCAAAAAGGCAATTTAAGGGAGAGGATGAGAGAAGCTAATGCAAGTTATCCCCCATGAAAATTCAAACTGATAAAGGCTGACCTTTTACATATAAATAGGAAAGTGATTGAGTGTATTAATGAGTGAGTTAGAGTATCAGTGAGTGAGCAACAAGGTGGATGATTGAGTGATTGAGAGAGCCAGTGTGTGTGAATATGTGAGTGAGAGAGTGCAAGCAGCTTACAGTAAATGAATTCTCAAATCATTAACGATGATAAGCCTCCAGAGAAAAACTACACACACCTCAGGTATTATTAATGGATGAATTCATCGCTTTTAATTCAGTAGCTGTGGCCCACCCCTGGATTTGCTGAGGATCAGGTCCTAATCAAGGTGCCTGTGGGCCACACTGCACAGCATTCAGCCTCGACGCACCAGCCAGAGAATGCTGATTCCTCAGTTTCATTAAAGACATGTTCTGCCCTACAGCCCCTTAATCAAAATCTAGCAGCGGTCAATACTTCATCCAGGATCCATTACAGTGTCTCAGGTAAGAGCAATTACCTTTGGGGGGGTTGGGGAAAAACAGGGGAGGGGGTGACAACGCTGCGGAGAAGACAGAGCGATTGCAGAGCCATTTTAGAGGAGCAGATTGCTCTAAGTAAATACACTGATTCATTATAGAGAGAAGGAGGAGAGTATGAATCCTATATCTTACCAAACGTCTGCCTCATCTGTTTCCTGCTTCAAACAGTCAATTTACCAACTGGCAGAAATGGAGCGCTTCATTGACAGCCCCATCTACCTTGATACACATGTCTTTGAACGGCAGACCTGATAGGAAGTTGTCTTTTTTCCCCTTTTTTGTCCCCCTTGTGGTGACAAGAGTGTTAGCACGTGTTTCTGTATGTTTGTGTATTAGGCAAGGAGAAGTTTGAGCTATTAATAGGACCGAAATGATATGCAGAGAGGAAGTGGATGCTAGGAGCGCAAAGAGATAAATATGGAAATATGGAAATGTACGCACTGGATTAAAATTTGATGAATTTCAAACAAAATTCCACCTCCACCATCAGTCTTTCTCCCGAAAGGATGTTGTGTGTGTGTGTGTGTGTGTGTGTGTCACTCTTGTGCAATTAGCTTCTGAAGTCACGCTTGACTGATTGTGAAGCTTAAATCCCAGAGCCCACAGGAAAACTGCGGTGTCGAGGCCGCCTGCGCCAGAGTTGTTAGGGTTTGTAATTGCAGGTTTATGGGTTCACAGGCCGGTAAATCTGCCCATGTACAGCTAAACGCTCCAGCGAGCTAACCTTAGCATCACTCCTGCTCACTCCCAACAACCATGACAACTCTTAAAGCTCTGGGTTTCTCTGATATTAAGACATGGGGGTGGGGCCGCATGACACACGAATGTGCAAACGGCAGAGGTGTTGCGTGGGTGAGTCAGACGAGGTCTTGCAGGACCAGCAGAGAAAAAAACAGGTATAACATTCAGTTTACCACCAATCTTTTTATTCTCTCAAGTGAGAGAAACAAAACCTGAAGATGTCGATATTCCCGTTTGAATAGCGCTGGTTTCTACTTTATGGGCCTACCAAAACATTTGTTGGACAAATAGGCACAAGTGAGTGGTTTGGATAAAAGAGAAGATGAAGATTAAAGAAAGTGCTTCATTATCACATCAAACCTTAGCTCCTTCCTTTCATGTCCCCCAACCCCCGCCCCTAAAAAGCAGACACCTGCAGTAAAACTCACACACATTACCTCACCTACACATACCCAGCCTCTCTCTCTCACACACACACACACACACACACACAGACACCAACATCCTTGTACAGATCCACATGCGCCTTTCTTTGGGTGTCTCTCGGGTGCTAATCTAATGCAAGTTTCTTTTTCAATTTTTTCTTGGCTTTGATGTCTTTCACTCTCTCCACCTGATCTGCCAAAGTCACCTGGGAAGAGAACACCTATCAGGCTCCCAGGCTGTCAGCCATGAGCGACGGAGGCCCGTGATTAATTTCACCTAATCACTGTCCCAGCTTGATTACCAGCGGGAGCTGCTGACCTGAATGACATTTGTCCAACGTCTTTCATGAGTGAAAACAGCCCTGTTATGTCAATGATAAGCAATTTGCTTTTATTTTGTGCTAAGGGACAGTGACAGACAGCAGGAGAGAGAGAAACGGTTATGGTCGGAGAGAAACAGACAAAGGGAGGAAAAAGAGGGTCAAGAGCATGTAAAAACTTCTAATTTGCTGCTATCCAGACGCAGGGTTAATGAGGTGATGATACTGTACAGCAGCTGTCTCCTGCACTTATTCCAAATAAGGGTGACTTGCTGTCTTTGTGATGGATTTTTTTGGTAGAAATATGGGCATGAGGCATAAGCGATTAGAGAAGTTATTACTTGGCAGCTTGCCCTGGGATGGACCTCACCTTCAAGCCTCTTTTTTTTTAGAAGCTGGAGTTTCAAAGCAAATCCTAAAAATGGTAGAGCCACCTCCACATAAATAGGAAAGAGTAAGAGGTGAATTTATTCTGGCTCTTTAGACATTCTCCAACCAGATTAAAAGTCCGTCAAAGGCATCTGTGTCATGTGAATAGTGGTGTTTGTGTGATTTTTTCAATATATCATAAAAGCCTCAGATAAATAAAAAAAACAATAAGATAATGGGCAGTGAGGAGTGATATTCGATGTCTGAGATATTTCCATGCTGATGCATGATGCGTGGGATTAATTTACTGTAAGAAGACCTAAAATTGAAAACAATTTGCAACATCAGTATACTATGTGTAAACACACTACATCAAATAAGACAGCACAAATAAAACATGATATAGATGGTGTGTAATTTCAGTTTGCTGAATGGTGCGCTTTAATGCGTTTCATTTATGTGGGTTAAAAGGTTAATAAGTTGCATTGGTGATATATAACATCCACCTCATGTAGAGGCCTCTGATAGAATATGTGAATCCAGCATGTAATTTACTGTCAGAACATTTCCTTCCCGCCATCTCTCCACCCCATGGCAACAGTGACCTCTATCTCATGGCTACACTCCACAATAACGAGCTCCTGCTAGCTGTATCTATTTGGTGTCAGCTGTTGCTTCATACTGAAGTGTGATGGTGGTGTTGGATGGATGTTTTTGGAGGGTGGGCGAGGGCATGATGCATCTATTTCTGCAATAAGTCCGCTCTGACGCTGGTGCCTGTGTAACAGAGATATCTCAGTGAACTGAATATCATTCCCAGAGAAATGAGATACGAGCGTGAGCAGCTTTGTGTGCTGCACCGCTCTCAGTGCTGTCACGGGGTGGAGGATAAAAGGGAGAGGTGAGAAATAAGGGAGAAGCTCATTCAGTAGGTGTGGTATATCTGAATGTGGCAGTGTAAAACACATCTGTATGTTGAGAAGCACATAAACAGTAACTCAACACATCATACAATATGAACGCTGCATGCATCTCACCACATAATTAAAATGGTAATGTACACATGGCTAGTGATCCTTCCTGATGGATATCTTATCATCAATTTTTATGATCTTATCTTCGTCTGAGCTTCAGAGTACATGCAAGCAATAGTCTTCTAAAATCACCCTTATGCATGTGTATGCATGTAGCAGAGATGGGGACCTGAGTTTGAGACTCAGACTCAAGTCGCAATTAAGTCGCCCACACAGTACCTTCAGACTTGATTTGAGACTCGTACTCAAAAGACTTCAGACTTGACTCAGACTCAAGGTGCGGGACCCATGAACAATGTCTATTTTTAGGAAACATCTTATGAGCTTGCTGTTATCCCCCTCCTTGCGTTACCTATAACCTACCTACGTAACACATAAGTTACTACGTAGCTGCTACGCGTGGCCAAAAGTGAGTGAGGACAACAAACACCGGTAGCTGCTGTGCCATTCATCATAAACTTTGACTTTAAACTTCATACAACAAGGCCCAAACAAAAGAAGTGCTGAATCCAAAATAGGTGAGAAAACATGTTTTAGCTCAGCACTGGTCATCTAACGTTAGCTTGCTTCTTGCTTTAGCTACGACCTACGGGAGGTTATCTTTTCACATTATGAAAAGATAAACGAGTGTTTTTTTACTGGCCAAACTATGGTGGTTGTTATCATTTACGTCCCGCTGGCTGCCATCATGTTAATTATTGACGTTGGCTGCAAACATTTTACAGGTTTATTGTTGATCATGTAATGTTA